GTTTTCTCTAGAGGCTTTGGTAAAATAATATCAAAAATAAGATTTGATCACTGCCCATAAAAAGGCGATTATAAAGGAGATAATTTTTTAAATAGAAATAGAGAAGTTGCGCAATAATTTGTAGAATATAATTAACCCAAAAGGAATTCTAAGATGAAGTACTTAACATAGATTTATAATTGACGCTTATCGCAGAATTTTCCTAATCTTTATTTAAAATTTAATTCATTGAATAACTAACTACAATATCACTTAAGTAATTCATAAAAAATCTCCTAAATCAACAACTTTCTAAGCAAAAGTTTACATAAGTTCACTTTTTAACTATAAAATTTTCAACAATCAGCTCAGCAAGTGGATTATTTAAAGCAACTGAAGAAGAAGGCTTCATGAAGAGATTAATTGGAGTTGTTGGATTAGCTTTAACAAATAGAAAATCAATAAATAAAAAATATTTTATGCAGATGAGTACAAAAAAATTTCAAAATCAATTGGTAACTGAATTGACAAATATTTAGTTGGAGAAACATTCACAGGTACGCCAAAACAAATGGTTGATTCAATCAAGGTAACCAAAGCTCTCATATCCTTACTCACTAGTTTCCAATCTTAATTTCTGCATTTGCAATTTTTTCCTAAAAATATGCTCTTTTTTATATTCTTTTTTCTCTTTTTAACGTTTTTTAATATCCCCAGCAACCATTTCCAATTTTCCAATAGCAATCTTCTCCTTTGAGATACTAATCATCTTGTAAAAATTTGCAAAGCTTTATGGGAAGAATGTAAAAGGGTTACAAAGCGGTTAAATGAATGTAACAGACCCACTTTTATAAACTTATGAATGCTCACATAACCCAAAAGACAGCGCTGCCACCATCAATTTATGACAATACACTTAATATTGACTACTATTTTTTATAAATAATTTACTAATTCATCTCCCAAAGACAGACGAGTAATGAATTTGGCAAAGAGAAATGTGATTCTTTCAAAGAGGAAAAAAAAAGTAATAATAAATTATATATAAAAAAAAGAGATGATTATGATTTTTATTTGTATTTCTTCCAAGATAAATGTTGAATTGAATGTACATCCAAATATCCTCAAAACCTAATTCATGCCAAGTGGCTCGGTTCTCGATAACCTAGTCGAGTAAGAAAATTTGAAAAATGATGAGCTGACCATAACAATTTTGAACTAGTCAGAATTCTGATGAGCACACAACAACCTACTCGATTCACGGAACATTTAGGTGTGCATGCCTAAGATCAAGCATACTCAGAGCAAATGTAAGTGTGCTTGCTCAAAATTGGAAGTTACTTGGCAGTATACTTTCTAGTAAGTTAGCGACTTTTTCCTAATCAAAACAGCAATTCATTATAGGTCGGTGACTTCCTATAATCAATTCAGCAACTTAACCATGGATTCAGGCAGACAGGCTGTGATCATTTTAATGTAATTAAGCTACACATCTAAAGTATTTATAGCAAAGAACCATAATCGTTGCTCTATATTTTTCTTATTTTTGATTGCTCAATATATAAGTTCTCCTGGAACACTCAAATCATAGAACAAACTTAAAAAAAGAAAATCTAGAAACAAGCCCAAGTTAGACAACTCTTATATTGAAAATATATAGGGTAATCCCAAGCTTCTAATTATAAATTCTCTGTTCTCTCTTATCTACACAAGTTTCTTGTGATTCGGTGTGTTATTAAGGTTCTGGATAATTTACAGAAATTTAGGGATTCAACGAAATCAATAAATCAAGTTAACAGCTATAAAAGTGAATAAATTCTAAAAAAAATAAAAAAAATAACGTTGATTCAAATGCCCTTCCTAAAATTAATTACAAAGAACTCTGCCATCACGATGCAATGCCCAACTAATTAGCCAATTCTTCACCAGAAATAACAAAAAGCGTTAGCAGCAAATCAAAGAAGATCAGCATGCATCATAAACAATAATGTGCAAGTTAACAAGAGCCTTCATAACAAAACTGAACTAAAAACTCGCGAAAAACAAAAGCGGGAATCGAACCTTCCACCGGCTCTTCAGCAGCTACCTCTCTGAACTGCAATAAGGGAAAAACAGAGATGCCAACCAATAGAACAACCCTCCTTCGGACGGAATATCTCTCATCGAATGACCTTCCGCCATTCCAAAAATAAGAAATGACCGATGCCCTTCTCTTCCGGGCAACTTTCCTGTGAGAAGGATACATCAATGGAGAACAGTAGCGAGAGGACGGCGAGGATTGGCAGAGTGCAGATTGCAAGAAAATTGAGCCTCCTATCGCGCTCATCTTCTCCCCCGTTCAGTCTCCTCCGCTGCTTCGATCTCAGTCTCTCTTGCTTGGCTGCGTTCGGCGGCGGACGCCCGAGGGGTTGGTCGTACGACTTCGGATTTAAAATTGACATGCACCATCAGCGGAACCGAGCTGATGCAGAGCTGCCAGATAGGGTTTTTATCCGCTCTGAACAAATGGAGTGGCACCATGTCATGCTGGGGTAACATGCCAGGTGACATGCAAAATTACAGATAGACCATATGAAATTTGCTATTTACAAATCAACCCTCCTCTTTCACCTATTTTTTCAAATTCTCACTCTAATATAATAAAACATACAAATTCTTATATTTTGGTACTTTAAAATTTGACTTAATGTATTAAAAATTAGGGTCTTTACACACCCACGACATAACTTTTACGTATTAACATATCAATCATCCAAACTTCAACTTTTACGTAGAAACTATCAGATTCTTATATTTTCGGGATATTTGTGATGATTTGTACGTAAAAAATGAAATTTAGTGATTTGACATGATAATACATTGGAATTTGGTGGCTTGCGTAAATGTCCCTAAAAATTAATATATTTAAGTTTCTGTTTGATCGAGGAGATGATACAAAGATCTCGTACATAAATATCATACATTTGCAAGATATAAAGTTCAAATTTTCGATAAAAAAAATGCGAGGCAGTAACCAAGTTAATAAATAAAAGGCATGTTAATTAAAATTAACAATATAAATAAATCATATTATTTTATTAAGATCAATGCTCGCATAAAAATTTCATTTACATTTTAACCTCCAATTAAATTTAGAGTGTAAGGTTTTTATGGGAATATATTCATGAATAACTTATTATATAATAATTTCATTTGTTTAGCATAATTCGAAGGGATTCAGGTTTCCTCAGGGCTCTAAGAAAGTCATGGTAAGGAAATATCAAATGCTAAGAAGGGCAAATGTAGAAGTGTTGGGACTTAGTTTGAAGCAAAGAAATGTGACAAAGTGTAAAAGGTCCCACTAGGGCGAGTATTTATTCAAATGCAACACTTGTTTTTGGTGTCACCAACCAAGTTATATGGCAAAGAAACACCCGCCTTAAGTCAAGTGAGAGAAAATGAAGCACAGTTGTAGGCCATCACCAAAAATAAGGGTTGAGCGATGCCCTAAAAAGGATAATTTTTATTGCAGATTTTATGAGTCATTTTTATAAAAGTGGTGGGGTAACATCAAGAAAAAAAAAATTGCACGAAATGTAGCCCGCCACGAATCGAGCCAAAAGTTCACGTGCCTCGACTTTGTGTCGCATTTTTATGCTTGTGGCGCTTGCGCCACTCTCCCAATCATCTCGATGATGCCTTATCAGAACGCACTGTCTTCCCATTGCCCTCCCTAATACTATCCAAATTTGACTAAAGATATTCTTATCCTAGTTCTCTGGTACATATACGTAACTAAAAATAATAATTGTTTTCACTTACAAAATATTATTAACTTTATATATAATCTTTAATAATTTAAAAAAATCATATAGAAAAATTTTAAGTAATATTTTTGTGAGGCCCACTAATTTAAAAGGTAAAATAGAAAAAGAGCTCGAGAAATTTAGAGAAAATATTACATCAGAAGTCATGATGAGTTTCATGTGCGGATGATAATATTAAAATATTATTTGTAATATTATAGTGTTATTTTACTAATAACACCATCTGTATTTAGGGTTTGTTTGGGGCAGCTGCAACTTATTGAATAATCTGTTTATAAACTGATTAAAAATAATCTGCTGATAAACTAGGTGCGGTGACCATTACAAATTTTTATTTTTTTGGAAAAATAAGACCGCTGTCGGAAAAGTGCCACCATATCTAGATATGTGCGGTGTGAAAATGTTTTTCTTAGCGTTTTCAAAACGCATAAGCTGTCAAAGAACAGTTTTGTCAAACAAATCAGGTGCATCTTCAAAATATCACCGCAATAAATAAACTATCACAAACGAGTCCTTAAGTCAAATGTAGATCATCTCAATGTAATATTTTTTTTCTTGAATTTAAGTATCAAATCACCCCTAAAATCCCCTCCCCATTTTGTAAAAGCGGTGCGCTACGAGAGTGGATGATACTATGTAACCCCAAGGTGAACAGTTGATGATGGCGATGGTTGCTCGGCCATTTGTCATTTTCACCCGCAAGAAAACAGTGAATATTCATTCACTAACAGGCCGTTTTCCCACTGTAGCCTCGTGAACAACGGAGTTGGCTCCAATGGAGATGCAGGGCCTCCGTCTGGGGAGGACGGCGCCCAGCGGAGAGGATAGATCTGCGTGTGCGAGCTCACTTACTCCAAGAATGGAGAACTACGCGGAGATATTTGACGGATTTGCTGCATCCTGCTCCATTCCGGTGCTTGCGCTCCCAGAAGCCATGGATGGCTGCGATGAAGAGTTGGCGGGGTCGCAAAACTCTGGTTTGAACTATTTCGAGATCTTCGGGGTTCTTGATGCCGGAGGCTTGTCATTATCGTACGAGGAGCTTTTCTCCATGGAGAGGAAGGGGTCGAGCGAGAGAGATGAGGACGACAGGTTTATCTACACGCGTGATTTCTTCTGCGTTTCTTCTTATGGTCATCAATGTCAGCATGGGTCTTGAAAGCTAGCTATAGGCTCTGCGTGACACTTCAATAACGAGTTTTTTTCTTTTGGAATTCTGCTTTAGTACCATGCGCTGCAATGTGAGTTGTCTCTTCATTGTTTTTTAAGCTTTAGGGCTGCGGGGCGGTGGTGGCGGCGTGGTGGTGGAGACACAAAGTGGGAATTGTTTTAGAATTTGGTAGGTAGCGTTGAGAGTCAGGTTGGAAAAGAATGCTATCTTTTTGCACAAACTATCCTATAAAATAGATTCTAGGCATTATATTTTAATATATGGTTTACCAGAAGAAGAAATGTGAGTTTCTGCAAATATGGTCGTTCAGCTAATTTTGCTATAATGGCTTGAGGAGCACTGTTTTCTTCTTACACTAATTATGCGGCAGAACAACAGCTACTAGTATTACAATATGAAAACTATACTTGTTAATGCTGTTTGTTTTGTAAGTAGGAGAATTTTGCTGGAGTATTTTATAGAGATATGACACTAAATTGATCACACATGAGTAACAAGACCAAAAAGTGATATGATAAAAAATGAGAAATTTAATTATCAATAAATGGAGACAAAAGAATACAAGCGTATTGTAAGAATTCTCATTCTCTGGGGTGTTGAAGCTTGACATTTAAGTATTTTGTGTGCATGCATTGGTCTCCCTTTGTGATGTTTTACCAGTCTAGTGTTTCTTGTTCTGGTCCTAGCTAACTAAGATGAGTAATTATGAGGAGATCCTGAGAGTAGAACAAATGCCGAGTTAATTTTAAAGGAGTACCAGCAATTAACGCTCACCAATCAGGCTTTCCATAGGACTGCTTAGCTTGAGCGTTGATGGCTCACTCATAGTTTTTTATATCCTTATTCAGGATAGTTCGGGTCTAGTTTATTGATAGGTTGAAGTATTGAGCTATTTTTGAGGGGTTGAAGAATATGTTTAATTTCAAATGTGGCTTGTTCATATGTCAAAAGTTTATTTGATGCTACTTTTTGGAATTAAGATTTTACATGATCCTTAAAACTGTACATACATTATAATTTTAGTACATAAAGCAGGATATCCTTGTTGCATCCCCATTCTCCCTTCACTCTTAATGGCCTGTGATAGAAAATTCACTATAGAGAGCTTTTGTGCAAATCATGAATGTTGTGCTCCAAGCCTTTTGCGATAGTTTCCCTTGTCAATAGGAATGTTAAATGGGCATGATTGCCCCTACTTTGCCGATGTTTGTGGAGTTTTAGCTTTGTCTGCCCTTGTTGTAGCTTTGATGGAGGGTCGTGCTTTTCTTCCTTATTTTGATTTAGTGTGCTTTATGGTTTTGATTGCCATAAATTTGCTGGTCGAAATTCAAAAAGATAGTTACAGAGGTAGTGTCTGGACCTCAAAATAAGAGGAAAGTAGAGGTGAAAATGCTACTTCGTTTTCTTTGGAATACTGTTATTGTTTGGGTGGCCCTTTTGATTGAGAGGGATACTTGTGGATGCCTCTCCCGTGGATTTTCCTATTCGCACGGAAGTTAGTTGTCGAACTTTGTTCTAATTTTTAGTGGTAATGGTATTGAAGATCATCATTCTAAGTTTTCTAAGAAACATGATTTCCACCATCTGTTTTAGTCTTTGTTAATTCCAAACCCCTGGCCGGGTCGTGACATATTTCAATATTCGAAATGTAAGAAGGATGGCGGCTATGATGTTGGAATTTAGTACTGCAGCTAGGTTCTTATCAATGGGCGTCCAAGTAGTATAAGCCGGGTTTGGTGTAGCGATGCGTGCCACATATGTTGTAGTTCGTGCTGGCTGAGGTGTGGATCCATCAAGAAAACCCTCAAAACCATTGTCCTTGTTACTGATTTGATATTGGACATGAGGAATTTTAAGGTTGGGAGAATTGAAGGTTCTTGAATCCGCAGAGAAGGTAGGACCTCATTGAGAGAAGAAGCAGCAGAGTTGGCCATTTGGAGAGGAAGAATTTCATGGTATGGTGAATTGAAGCTAAGGCTCTTACAATGTGAAGTAACCACTTCACAGGAACCTGGAAAACAAGGGAATGTAGAATACATGAAGGGAAACAGTAAAATCATATTTTCTATGGAGCAGTGCTGCAGGATATATATAGATGCTTTAGGTAGAAGTATCTAGAATCAGCTAGTTAGTGAATTGAATCCATTGGCTGTGGTTTGTTGAGGCAGTTATGGGTTAGATTGTATGGTCGGACCGTGTAATTGTGGCTTCACTTTTCTGCTATCCAGGTTGTTGTCTTTAGATAGTATGTCATCTTAATATTATACAATCTAGTTGAATGCATGATTTGATGCATTATGGAGATAAATTGATTGGCCATCTATTGCATTGAAGTAGCTTTTTTGCTCATTTGGGAATTTTTTCTATTCTTTTTAACTAGACTCACTTATTTTAATTGAAATTAATACATAATTATTCATGATCATTCAATCATATTTGATAGTTTTCATTGATTTATATGTATAAATCTTTTTATGTGAAGTTTCAGATTAGTTTGAGCTTTCTCATTTTAAAATTTGTTTTGAGTGATGATTAAATGATTATGTAAACCAATTAAAAAAAGATTTTATGTTGTTGATGGCGAGTGGTGTATTTATGTGTGATGATTATAAAGTATGATAGCATAAGAAACAAATTTAGGCGGAGGAAGCTGGTGTATCTTCACAGATAGATTCACTCATACTTGCATATATGAAAATATCTTGTTTTAAAAATAACATGAAAATATCAAATTTTAAATATGAGAAAATTAACGGGAAAATAGCAGAAATATGAGGGAAATTATCAGAAGAAAAAAAAGAGGAGAGTTTTTTGTTTAATTTCATCTGATCAACAAGGCTTTGATGTCAGTATTCCAAATTTTTTTTGGGCACATACTGCACTATTTAAGGAAAGTAGTGCAGTATGCTTCCTGCATTTAAATGACAATGATTTAAAATGCATACTGTTTTTGAAAACTGGCTCTAGGTTAAGAGACAAAGGTGTTGCCCAGGTGGAGATAGGATCTCCCGGGTTACCAGCTGAAATGCGAGTTGAACATGTAACCGCTCCAAAAATCGACCAAATATCCGCAAAGTTTTGCTCAAAATTTGATGCAGGTAAGAACAGCAAACAAAGCGTGCCAAACGAAGCAAAAGCCACAATATGCGTATCAAGGAATCAAGCTAACTGTGGACCTGAGCTTGAAGCTCTAACAGAATCTCATCCAGGAATTGTCGAAGATGACGGTTCTGGAAATGTGGCAAGTGATGATCATATACTAAGTGGGTATGTAACAGAAGAAAAGGAGGCAGAAAAACAAAGTGAAATCCTTAATAGATGTTTTGTGAGTGCTATTATAGATAGTTCTGAAAGTGATTTGAATGGTACTCAGAAGCCTCATTATATAGATGAAGCTTATGATTTAAAGCAATGCTCACCCTCCTCTAGTTATCACTCGGCATCCAGTGGGGATGCACCTCTCACCGATTATTCATTTTTGACAATATCAGATATCAATCTCCGCACTCAACCCTTGGAAGTATCGCCGCCTTTGAGAGCAGCACCCAAGTTAGATATGAAGCAAGGAGTGTCTAAATCTCGGCCACCTGATGCTTCAGATATTGCTTTCAATCAAAATTACCAAGCTCATCATGTTGGAGGTCCTGGAACATGCCATTTGCTCAAAGAGACTATGAATAGTACTCTTCCTAGTTATTCTAACGTGGAGATGGATGGCAGCAAAGCTGCTGCAGCTTCTGCTGCTGCTGTGATCGAAGCAATGGAGCAAGCTCAAGCTAGTCTGAAGAGTGCAAAAGAGTTGATGGAAAGAAAGCGGGATGATCCTCGGAGTGAGAGGAAGCTGGGTCCTTATGATTTTGGCTTCTGGAATGAGCAAAATATTAGTTTCTCTGGACATTCAAAGCATAAAACGAAGAAGTTACAAAAGTTAGTTCACAATCAGGTAGAGAGGGTGGTACCTTCATTGCTTTCTGAGGATGCTGAAGAAGTAGTACAAGGTGAAGAGTCTGGATCTTATAAGCTACCAGATCAGAAGGAAAGGTGTCACGAATGGAAAATTGACAAGCAGTTCTACGAGCTGGTCAGCAGTGAGAAGTTGATGAGATCAAGAGTGATCAATGATGAAAAATGTAGCAGCAATGAAGACATTAAAATTAGGCACCAACTCGATGCTCACCAATACTATCCTGAGAAGGAAACATGTGGTTTGAAGGGTCAAAGGTTTCTACAGGGTGGTGACAATGGTGAAGATGAGAATAAACTGGAAATGCTCAATACATTTAGAATAAATGGGAAGAAAACGTTTTCAGGAATTGAATTTCAAATGCAGGATGGTAATGCTAAATGGTTGAAATCTGGTATCATAACTGACAAAGAGGAGGCCATGAACATACTTGAAACATCTGCCAGAGATGACGAAGACAAAGAAGAACTGGTTGGAGCAGTTCAGGTTCCCAATGATGACATAAAAAAGGCTGTAGACCCAATCAAATTGATTCAACAAGATAGAAATGAGAATAAACTAAAGCAGTGTCAGGAATCCGGTATTTGCGCGGCGGAAAATAATAATGCCGATAGTGATTCAGAATTCAATAGCTGTGAGAGGAGTTCTTTGGGGTTAATGGGTTTCTTTATGGATGGGAAGTCTGAGGAATTTGATGGAAGTGAAGCTCTGAAAGAGAAGCTGGATCAAGTTAAAAAAGCACATCTACACACCTCTAGTATGGATGAAATTAGTGAAACTTCTGTTGTTTTTGAGTATGATGAGTGTAGGTCCGATGAGGTAAAAGTTGATACAAATAACATGGAAGCTGCTAGAGAAGAATCCCAACTCGGCATGTTTAAGCAGATGAAAAATGTGTATCATGCTAGTTATAATGATGGGAAGGATTCAGAAGCGGGGGGCATTGATAATACTTATAAACCGGAAAATATGAGTTTCAGTGGCAATGGTAAAACCATTGAATCTGTGAAGAAAAGAAGGGCTAAGTGGAACATACCAAACAGGAGTAACTTGAATGTCGTGAAGCTGTTTGTGCAGCCAGTTTGTTCTGAGAAGACAGATGAAGCATTAGAATTTCAGAAAAGTGAAGAAAAGAATGTATTTGAGATGCCACAGAAATTTGAAAATTATGAGGGCAGGCTGACTGATTATGAGGACAGGTTGATTGCTAATGGGGAAAAAAGAAAGGATGAAAAAAAATTTCTTGGGAAAGTGCAAGCAGCACTGGAGTTGGAAGCCCAACAGGCTTCCCAGAGAATCAGAGTTCAGAACTCAAAAGCTGTTCAGCAAGCCAATCAAGGGGGCAACAAAGTAGACATTCCGAGACCATTTGTGGATGCTTCAGGAAGTTCATGGAAGCAAATGGAGAACAGTACACCTGATGGATGGATAGATGCTGATAATATAAGAAAAGATATATTGGATAGAGAAAGAAACAAAGTAGACAATCAGGCTGAGCTGAAGAGAAAATTAGTGGAGAAGGAAAGGGTAAGAGAACAAGAAAAAGACATGACTGCTCTTGAAAATACAACTCATGAAGCTTGTGAAAGGGTATTTGCTGAAGCTAGGGAGAGTTCTGAAAAAAATTTGCTCGACATGAATGCTGCTGAAGCTCAACACCGGCCTATCACGACATATCGAGATGTAATCAAGAGTTCTGCTGAAGCATTTGAAATGTCTGAAAAGATTGCATGTGATGCAAAACTGCAGGCAGAGTGTGCTGTAGCTGAGCGGGCGCCAGCAGAGGCTAGAGGGTGTGCCCTTTCCAAACAGTTTTCTCTTGGTGCTAGGAGGCAAGCGGAGTCATCAGGTAACATTCCTAAAGACAAAGACTGGAAACACAACGAAGCAGAAGATGTTGTTAGACATGGCAACAAGGACAATGAGTACAATGCAAAACCTACTTCTGTAAGTGAAAATATTAGATCAGATTGAGTCTTCTGGCAGTTTACTCTCTCTCTCTATTTAATGCTTCTGTCTCAACTCATAAGCTCATTACTTCTAACAGGATGTGCATGATGCTCCAGTTGACATGAAGATTCATAGTGAAGGCAATCCTTACCTTTTTTTTTACCTCAAAATTACCGATCTTCTCAATAGTCATGACACCTTGAAACATATTATATTATTTTTTAGCAGCGTCATGACTTCATAGTCTTGACTCTCAAGCCCCTAATAAAATTTTAGAACATATTTCTCCAACATTTCTGCCCTTTGAGTAATTTGTTTTATCCACTAAATGTTGAAGGTTATGAGGAAGAATCGCCATTAAGATGCAAGGCAAGGCAAGAGCGGTGCCGCCGAATAGTTGAACGTGCGGTAATTATTCAACTGAATTTTTTTTTTTCTGAACACAGTTGACTGAAAATTTGACTTGTAACTTCCACACAATTCAGGCAAAAGCTCTAGCAGAAAAGAACATGCGAGATCTTTTTGCTCAAAGAGAGCAGGCAGAAAGAAATGTAAGAAGGATCCCTTCATTCTAATAAATGCAGACTTGTTGTCCTTTTTTACAATCTTTTGTTAAAAATATGGTTGCAGAGGTTAGCAGAGTCTTTGGATGCTGAGGTTAGGCGGTGGTCAAGTGGAAAAGAAGGAAACTTGCGTGCGCTGCTGTCGACGCTACAATATGTAAAGCGTGTTTTCTGTTTCTCGCGTATTTTTCTCTCAAGATATTGGGTGTCCTATATTTTATTTGTCTAATTGTTTGATGAAACTTTTTCATGAATTATAATACTCCTACATTCATCTGCTTCTAAACCAAAGCAATTAAGGCTTTGATGGTGTTCTTCTTACTTGCCAGATTCTTGGGCATGACAGTGGCTGGCAGCCTATTCCATTGACAGACGTTATAACTGCTGCGGCTGTGAGGAAAGCTTACAGGAAAGCGACTTTGTATGTCCACCCTGACAAATTGCAGCAGAGGGGCGCTACCATTCAACATAAGTACATCTGTGAGAAGGTCTTCGATCTACTTAAGGTAACTACTGTGATCATAAGTTTGTGATTTATGTTAGTCATGAACCTCATTCGAGCAGCTTTCTGATTTTTTGGCACAAAACTTTGGTGCATCAGGTTGTAGGGAAGGCTTATGGGAAATTTATATTGAAATCAGTATTTCTCGGCTGCTATATTGTGTAAATTAGGCTCAAGAGTTTAAACTTTCTGTAACAATGATGGTTAAAAGTATTGAAAAAAAAGTTCTGGTAAAATTACGTAGGTTTAGTAAAACACTGTAATTTCCACAGTTTCACTCAACTCTAGTAATGTACCTGGGCTGATACAATTCTGTTAATTTAACTCTAGTGAAATTACCAGGGTTGGGGGTAAAACATAGTAAAATTTTGAGGGTTTGCTGCAACCATAGTAAATATATTATGCTACGGCAACCCTAGTAATCCATAATCATAAAATTATTGGGTTTAGGAAAGGAAAAAAAAACAAAAATTTGGTGCAGCCTGAATAGATTTACTATGATTAAAATTTTATTGTGCCTGTTAACTTGAGGACCATTTTATAAAAATTGCAAAAAGGTTTTGCATGCACAAAGGATAAAAACTTCAAGTACTTTTTTTTTTACATTAAAAAAAGTTTTTCATTCACAAAAAAACTAATACTTTTATTCAAATTTCCCTGAAGTTATTTTCTAATCTATCAAGCTGAAGATAATATCAGGATGAGTGGCGTGAGACTAGGGTTGTAAATTAGTTGAGTTGTGCTCACGAGCGGGCTGTTAGGTGTTGAGATTGATTTGAAAAATCTGCACACGCTCAGGGACCGAGCGCCCGACGCTTTTGCGCCGGGTTGTGGGCGCTACACAGAACTGCCAGCATTTAAGTGCCTACATAAAGGCGTTGGACAATGGAGGGGGCGCTTAGGTGCCTAGTTTAGGCACAACACTCGCAAACTCCAAAGAGCTTGGCGTTTAGGCGCCTTTGCTTCTGGAGCGGTTGGTTCATAATTTCTGCTTAGGAGGCCGTATTTCAACGATGTATTGTGTGCTTCCTGGGCTAGGGTTCTTCAACAAAGTTTTTGTGAAGGTGAGAAGTATTGGAGAGGAGGATTTTTTGTAATTTCTATGGGTGTTTTTTGCGTCGAATCGGAGTAAGAAGAATTTGAATCCCGGTCTTGTAAGTTTTCTGGAGAGAAGAATCGAGTGTGTTATCTTTAAACTCTCTGATTTTCATAGTGAAATTTTTATAATGGTGTGGCTCCATGGTTTTTTACTATTCTCAAGTTTTTTCCATGTTAAACTCTTGTGTCCTTTTCTAATTTGCTTTGTTGTGCTTTTGTTCATAAGTTTGTATTCGTTTTCTTTGAATCTATACAATCTTATTCAGTTGTGTGGTCTAGATTTCTAATTGAGTCTAAGCCTCGGTGAATTACAAAGGGAATTCTTCTGGAGAGTTTTCCTCAACACAGTGTTATTAGAGAGGTGTTCAATTCTAGTTGGAGCAATGACCGATGAAGCAAGATTCAAAATAGAGAAGTTCAGTTGGACGAACTTCACACTGGAAGATGCAAGTGAAAGATTTGTTGTCTTAGAAAAAGTTATACTTTCCACTACAAGGAGGCCTGCGCCTATGCATATGGAGGAACGTGAAGAGTTCGTTCGAAGGACACCAGGTTTGATCCGATTGTCACTTTTCTCGTTTGTTGTGTTCAACATAGTAAATGAGAAAGCCATGGCGGATCTCATAGCGACACATCATGAAACCTTCTTCCAATAATTTTTTTCTGATGAAGAGTTCGTTGTACATAAGACACCGGTGAACTGAAAGATGCAAAAAGTAGCGCTGAGCCAGAAGGAACACTGGAAGTTCCTCACTCATCTGCTACTAAATTCATGAGATCCATCAAAGTGATAAAACCCGTACACAGGTATTCTCCTTCGTTACATTATTTGTTACTAACTCAAGTTGAAGATTCAAGGGAGTGAGAGCGAGTCATGGATGAAGAAATGCAACATTTGGAGTCAACTCAGACTTGAGATTTGACGGTATTATCAGATGACAAAATGAAACTACACAACAAGTAGGTTTACATGTTTAAAGAGGAGTCAGATGGTAGCAAGCGCTACAAGACAAGACTTGTTGTGAAAGATTTCCGACAGAAATAAAAGTGAATTACACAGAAATAGTCTCCCCAACTGTCAAGCTTGTATCGAGTCTGGTAGCAGGGGAAGATCTACATCTGGAGTAGATGGATGCCAATATAGCTTTTTTACATGAAGATATGGATGAATTATACATTGTGCAACCACAAGGTTACAAGATTCTATACAAAGAAAGTTTGGTCTGCAGATTGAAGAATAGTTTTTATGGCTTGAAGCAGACCCCGTTAAAGTGGTACATGAGGTTTGGCAGGTTCATGTCAGACAACAGTTATATGAAGTGTCAGACAGATCACTGTTGTTTCATCAAACACTTCGTTAATTGTTATATCTTACTTCTTTTGTATGCGGATGAAATGTTGATTGCAGATGCATATATGTAGATAATCAGAGACTTGAAGAAATAATTATCAAGTCAGTTCGAGATGAAGGATTTAGGTCTAATCAGGAAGATCCTTCAGATGAGAATTAGCAGGGATAAGAGTGCAGGGACTATGAAACTGTCTCAGACAGTGTATGTTGAAAAGATCATATTGAGTGTCAATATGGGAGAGATAAAACCAGTTTGCACTTCCTTAGGTTGTCACTTGAAACTATCTAATGAGCTATTGCCTAACTCTGAAGCAGAGCAAACACAAATGAAGAGAACTCTGTATGCTTCAGTAGTAGGAAGTTTGATGTATACGATGATTTGTACCAGACCTGATATTGCATATGCAGTGAGAGTGTTCAACAGGTACATGGGCAATCCAGACAGGTATCATTGAGAGGCGGTGAAGTGGATTCTTAGGCACTTGAGAGGAACAATCAACAAGACACTTTGTTATGGAAATGCGAGATCAGTTTATAGGGATTTGTAGATTCATATTTGACAGGAGATGTGGATAGCTGGAGAAGTACAACAAGGTGTATCTTTAAATTGAGGAACAAAGCGGTGAGTTGGGTTTTCAAGCTACAGAAGATCGTTGCACTTTTAACTATGGAGACTAAATATATTGTTATCACTGAGGCTAGCAAGGAGTTGATTTTGCTACGGACTTTTATGGTAGAATTTGACAAGGAGCAAGGGATCAGAATGCTTCACATTGATGGTATGAGTGTGATTCATCTTTCTAATAATGCAATTTTTCATGTCAGGAAGAAACACATTCAGCTAAGATTTCATTTTATTCACTCTCTTAGAAGATGGACAGTTGTTCCTGGAGAAGATACACAACTAAAAATTTTGTGGATATGTGTTGATGAAGGTGGTGCTTGTTGAGAAACTAAAGCTATGCTTTGTTTCAGTTGGGTTTCATGAAGGTTGAGACCGGGGGTTAGCCACACCACGATACGTGACTACGAAGGCGGTTTAGATAGATTTGCAGCTACAGAGGACTGGTGATGGGTGCATTTAGTCTCCAAGTAGGAGATTGTTAGGTGTGGCGCTTGATTTGAAGCATCTGCACATGCTCAGGACCGAGTGTCTGGAGTTTTTGTGTCGGGCTGTGCGCGCTCAAGAACCCACTTTGGGCGCTACACAGAACGACCGGTCGGTGCTTAAGCGCCCACATAAGGGCTCTGGACAGTGGCATGGGCGCTTAGGCTCCCAATACGCGTCTAGGCACAACTCTCGCAAGCATGGTGCTTAGGCGCCAAGTCCGAGCGCCTATGCACCTGGAGCAGTTGGTTCGTAACTTCTGCTTAAGAGGCCAAATTTCAACGACTATTGTGTGCTTCCTGTGTGAGGGTTCTTCAGAAAAGTTCCCATGAATGTGAGAAGTGTCGGAGAAAAGGATTTTAGTGAATTCGACGCGCGTTTCTTGCGTTGGATTATAGCAAAAAGAGTTTGGAGCGAGGTCTTGCAAGTTTTCTTGAGAGGAGAGTAATTTAAGTGTGTTTTATGTAAATTTTTTTAATTTCACAGTGAAATTTTTCTGGTGGTGTGGCTTCGTGGTTTTTTCCCTTTCTCATGTTTTTTCACTTTACATTTTGTGTTCCTTTCTGATTTGCTTTGTTGTGCTTTTATTCGTAAGTTTGTTTTTGTTTTCCTTGAATCTACACGATCTTATCCCGTGGTGTGGTCTAGTTTCCTAATTGAGTCTAAGCCCTCGTGAATTTGAAAGTGAATTCTTCTGGAGAGTTTTCCTCAAAACGTGCTCGAGCTCGGCTCGTGAGTTATCGAGCCACGGAGTCGCGCTCAAGCCATCCCGACTCAGCTCATTTACACGAGAGCCGGCTCCATTAGCCTAATGCTAGTCATTTCGATGCATTTTTTAGTGAGCTGTCAGTGCGTCCTCCTCCGGCCACCATTACCTTTTCCAATGAGCTCCTGTAAAAATTGAATTTTTTTTAGTTCAAGCTCGAGTTCATGATTTGACAGATGAGCCCTTGATTTTGGCACGACACTATTTATAACACAAAAGGTCTAGTAATTTTTTATTGCAGACAAATCATGACCGTTTATATAAGATCAGTTGGTTTAAAATTCATTTATTAGTCCTTTAGTACAGGAGAATTGCGCTTGCGCAACCTTTTTCTTTTCATCGAGAGAGTGATCCATTCATTTTTTCTTTTGAGACAGAAAGAATAATTCGTCATTTTTGAATCTGGGATCTGTGGTGTTCATCAGTGGATACATATTTTGAACAATTGTCTCTTTTGCAGGATGCTTGGAGCAAGTTCAACTCAGAAGGGCGATAGTGCTTCATGTTTCTTACATTGAACTTGCATCATTATGCTATATTAGTCTTCAGCTGAAAATCTCCACTTTTATGTTATAGATTGCAGGCATACTTAAATTTCTGTCCATATTTGTATATTTTTCTTAATCCAGTCTCATTTATTCCTCATCTTTAGTAAGTTCTGAGGGATTTAACCCCCCATCTTAAAGAGAAAATATTGTGTCTGGAGTTCGGACGCAAGCTATATCCAGATACACCAGTCTTTTTTTTTTTTGTCTCCTCTGCTCCTTCCGGTGTATCGCGTTCATTGTCCTGACGCAACTTGCGTTCAAACTCTAGACGCAATATTTTTTCCATCTCAAGTGGTAAAAAAAAGTCATTTACATATACCACGCAATTCTTATATATTTACAGTTTACTATCATAATGCTCAAATTTTCATATTTACATGCATAATACTCAAATTTAGATATCTGCACTGAAAATTTTGGTTTTGGAAGCAATATAATCAAGATGGGCTTATATTTGGTGAACAAGCTCCACTTAGTATTGCTTCAAATGTTCTTCAGGCGTGCCTATTTAGAGCTGAGTCTTCTCAATTATCATTTAACACACCCAAATGAGGTCTTATTATAAATCGGATTGTGTTGATGCATCTGTGGCTTCAAACTTAGCTTCAAAATTGTTCAATACAAAAACTTCCTTGATTGAAGCGGTTGCGCATGATGAAAATGACGGAATGTCGTGTTGTTTGTGTTTGAACTGTCTCAATCCTCATCGAAGTTGCTCAAGTTCATTTGTTCACAAAATAGATTGCGTAAATACATCCAAAATATTAGAATTAGCTAGAAAGGAACCCCATATTATCCGGGCATCTGCTTGTAAGTCATCGAATGTCGTGTTGTTTGTGTTTGAACTGTCTCAATGCTTGTCGAAGTTGCTCAAGTTCATTTGTTCACAAAATAGATTGTGTAAATACATCCAAAATGCTAGAATTAGCTAGAAAGGAACCCCATATTATCCGGACATCTGATTGTAAGTCATCGGCATAAGATACGGGGTAATGATATTTATTACAATTTTTAAAATTTTTACAAAATTAATTAAAAAAAAATCCCTGCCAAGATGAAGCACACTACCTAGTTGAATATGCTACACTGTGATGGATCTAATCACCAAAAAGACAAGTTCAAAACTTCAGGGTATGTGTTGCCATCACAGTGTAGAATTCCCTAAAGAGATAGACTTAAAATTTATTACATCCTAAGAGAGGCTATAGGCTATCTCTTAGGATAATTTTTAATTAAAATAGTAGCTGGCCACAACGATTAATTTCAAGATTGTTAGTTCGGATTTTTAAAAGGGATTGGCTCAAATTAGAATAGTTCTTACCAAAATAGGGAGGATCGAATATTGAGAAGCTCAATGGTGCTCCAATCTATCATATGGTTGGACTTTTAAATTTTAGAAGTGAAATTTGACTTCTTGGGTTCAAATTATTTATTTTGATTTAGAAAGTTAGGACTTACAATCCAAAGAAATGAATCATGGAAAAATGTAGGAGAGGACTTGTCCAATAGGAAAATCCAACAATATCACCTTAGAATCTAAACTAAGGTGAGTTGTAACGATAAGTGTAGGAGGCTCGATCCTAATCTAAGAGATAAAAGTGAGACTTATGGACTTTACTCCCATCAAGGAGTGAAATCCAGTCAAACACTTCTGGGCTTACAATCCCATCTAGAAAGAGCTGTCAGCTAACACCACATGTACGTAAAACTCATGAGTCTAACTCATGTGCATGGGCATAGTGGTGGGTTTATTATTAAATAAAGAGGAATGTGTTTGGACTTACGACTTAACCTAGGAGAAAGAGCGGCCTAGATATAAATGCACCTAACTAATACAAAATTTTATGCTTTAAGATATTATTATTTTTTACACAATTTATCTGAGATTGATGCCCATGACTGCATTCTATGCTTGTATGTATGTGTGAAAAGTCAAATTTAAGACAATCAAGCATGAGTAGTTGTTTTTCCTAATAAGGATGGTGATCTTTATTGATCAAATCCCTCTTTCCATGTAATGGGTGAGGTGTTGAAACCAATAAAAGAGCATAAATGTAATACAAATAGTTCAATTAATTATATGATTTATAATTGATTTTATTGTTAATTTACCATGTGTTTTGATTATTTTTATTGTTTTGAGTTGTTTTAAAATTTTAAGGTAGTGGAAAATTATTCTAACTTAAAAGAGCCTAACAAAGATCATACTAGGCTATCCTAGCACACAATCATAAAATTAAATCTATAAAAACATGTAATTTTAATGCATAAATTGACGTAAATAAACATAAGTCAAGCATAAATAAAAGACAAGAAGACAAAAAAAAAAAAAAAAAAAAAAAAAAAAAAAAAAAAAAAACAAAAAAAAAAAAAAAAAAATAAACTTGGTTGGTGTGGTCAAGTTTCATTATAACTCGAAATAAAAGAAGAAGCGACCAATCAAGCTCTGCCCATATACAACTCAATAAAATTCTTAAAACTAAGATTCACATATGGGTACTACTTATCCTCCACCTTCATTTTGATGCTCTTAGTTCATCTTTCGTTGTTTGGGTTCTCCATGCTTCATAAGGCACACCAGCTGAGGCTTATCCTCACTCATTCTATTCCCACAAATCCTAACATAGTTATATGAATTACATTTAAAATTACAAAGCCTAAATAAAATCTTACAAAAAGAGATTAGTATAAAATGCATGTTGCACGCAATAGGTAAAGTCACATATGTGGGCTTAACATTGATAGACACTAGACCCCCTGTCCCAACAAACCATGCTTATAAGGCATAAATGTAATAATTAGCTCCTGCAAAAAATATATTAATTTTAAATTATCTATTTTAGCATACCCCTTTAAGCACAACCCTATATAAAAGAAGCATTAGACTTAAAAATAACCTTAACATATGTTCTACACACAAAGTCAACTAACATAGAATCCATCTATAATGATAATCACAACACAACAAGATAAATAAAAAATAATAACAACATAAACATAATTAATCACACAATAATTACCATCAGCCTAACCTAGATTTTGGTTGGAGGAGTAGCAAGTTGTCTAAAATGGGTGGCTAGTGAGGTGAGATTTGTCTAGTCCTTATGTTTGAGTTATGATTTGTATTTTATGCTTAAATGAATGGTTCAAGTATGCTTGAATAATGTTTTATGTATGGGGTTTAAGTTTTAATTTGATCTTGAGTTTAATTTTTTATTTTTAAGCTATGAAAAGTGTTACAAATAATAGAACTTGCCAGGTAGAGGGTCCTACCATTCATAGCTCTCTAATCCTAGTATGGTAGGCAGTTGGCTAAGAAAGCATGGCACATCAGCCTAAGAAGTTAAAGTGACTTGAATGGAGTTTAATTTGCTTAACTATATCCACTAAGTTTGATTAATTGTTTGATGTTTGAATTTAGCTTTAAGTACTTTGATTTTAGTTTGACTTAAATTTTCTTTGATAGAGTAGTTATATATATTAGTATTTGACTGGTTTGACAAACCTACAAACTTATATAATTTATCTTATGAGTTAAAAAAGAAGTTATGAGGAATGCTATAAATAAGTTTTGAGGTTGGGAATTGTAATTTCAAACCTTCAATGTTTTAGGGTTTTAATTTGGGATTAAGTGTTTTAATTTAAATAAATTGTTAAATTTTGATTTAAATTAATTAAGCTTTGATTTAGTTAAGTTTTAATTTGGTTAGTACATTACTCCCTAAGGTTTTCATAAGGGTATTAAAGGTTAAGCCAAGGCCTTTACATATTTAAGTTTATTTAAGGGTTATTTTAATGTTATAATTTTGTTTTGAAAAAAAAAATTCAAAACAACAACAAATGCATCTAAAATTTTCATGAAATTACTCTTTGCAACTCATCTTGTGGCTTGTTCTTCCTCTACTATCTCTCATATATCATGCACTCTGAGAAGGGCCTTCATTTAGATGTTCAAATTGTCATAGTTATTATTGTTGAGCGTTAAGACTTGAAAGTGAATCATCTGGTTGCTTACCATCTCTCTAGAAAGGTCCTTACGACTATGACACCACATTGTTGAAAAAAGAAGACTTAGGATAAGAGGAATGTTGGGTGTTGGTTATATACCCTGAAAGAGGGAAAAAAAGTTTCTCAGTGCGACCTTTTAAAAAGGAGATATAATTACTAATTAGTTATATAAATTTAATAGTTATATATTAGGAGCCAGTCCTTCAACAATATAATGTTTTGAGAAGCAATATAAAATTTCCCAAGAAAAAAAAAAAGAACTTTAGCTTATTTTTGTTATGGATGTTCATATATATACTGCAATTATCTATAAAAGAAGTATTTTATTGGACTAATACAATTATGATACTTGTACTATATTTTTACTTAACCAAGTTTAATTGATTGGCTGAAAACCAACTATACTTTTAGCCCATGAAATGGAACTACCTCACAAGCATGAGCTCTTAAACATCCCCAGAGACTCACTCCATTTTACTCTAATTGGATTCCTTAATTTGTTTTAGTGTTTATTTGCTAAAATTAGATATGATAAGCTCATGTTTTCAAAACGAAAAAGAAGAGTTAGTAATGTATTATATTTTTGCAAGTACGGTTGTAAACGATTGAGCTTGAGCAAGTTCAGGCTTAACCCGTGTTTGCTAGTTCGGAATTAATTATGTTTGAAGTAAGCTCGTGTTTGAAATACCTCGTGAACAATGTGTTCATGTTTGACTAGATTTACATAGTCGTGCTCGTGTTCGGCTTGAAATTGACTCGTTTAAATTAATTAGAAAATAGATGTAGGGTGTTGGATTTTAACCTACACCATTCTTATAAAAGTTGCATGACCACATAACAACATGAGTTGTGGTGATTATATACATATTATTATATAATAATATATATAATTTTCTTATTTCGAGCTAAAATGGCAGAACACGATCGAACAAAGGGTTATTAGTTTTGGTCTCATTTATACTTCTAGCTTAAAAAATCATTCGTGTTTGTCTCATTTACTTAACGAATCATTCGAACAGAAACAACTTAATGAGCCAAACACAAATTGCTTGTGAACAATAACCTTTTTTTGACAGCCCTACTTGCAAGTTCTTAAAAGTAATTGTAATTAAAAT